AGTACCATGAATGGAACAATACATAAATAGCCCGGTCCAAGTTGGACCGAAACGTCGTCGTAAGCTCCTCTCTCCTACGTGCAGGCTATTTACGTATTGTTACACTGAAGAAACTAATGATTGGCAACACCCACTGAAATAACTAAGATAGTGGCGATAACAACACGAAGTCCTCACAGCAAGTGCGTGCAGAGAGCACTGCAAATAATTTCGTTGGCGCTAAAGTGTTGACGGGATGCAACTTTTGTAAAGCAGAAGAGTGATAAATAAAATAAAGAGATGCTTTATTTCCCCAGGATACATTATTTTTACAGAATTGGATGAAGTTGTATAGTACTCGTGGAAAGTCAGGCAACATGCTTAATGCCTCCACCCACTCCAGGATAAGATAAGATAAGATTTCGTTCGGATTTTTAACCCCGGAGGGTCAGCCACCCAGGATAACCCAAGAAAGTCAGTTCGTCATCGAGGACTGTCTAACTTATTTCCATTGGGGTCCTTAATCTTGTCCCCCAGGATGCGACCCACACCAGTCGACTAACACCCAGGTACCTATTTGCTGCTAGGTGAACAGGACAATAGGTGTAAGGAAACGTGTCGGAATTTCCACCCGCCGGGAATCGAACCCGGGCCCTCCGTGTGTGAAGCGGGAGCTTTAGCCACCAGGCCACAACCGAGAACCCTCGGTTGTGAGCCAATAGGCGCTACGACTGAGACACGAACCACCATGCGAAGTGCTATTAAATGTAATAATAATAATAATAATAATAATAATAATAATAATAATAATAATAATAATAATAATAATAATAATAATAATAATAATAATAATAATAATAATAATAATAATAATAATAATAATAATAATCTTTATTTACTACAAGTACATGTACAAGGTATACAGGCCTAGCTGACATCAGTGACATACTACTATATAGAAAGCCCTTGTTATGCACAGCATTTCGGGTCAGTTTTGTCCCAGGATACGAAACACCCCTGGTGGTTATCTTCAAGAGGGAGCTGGACAGATACCTAAAATCAGTGCTAGATCACCCGGGCTGTTGTTCGTACGTTGGACTACATGCGGCCAGCAGTAACAGCCTCGTTGATCAGTCCCTGATCCACCAGGAGGCTTGGTCATGGACTGAGCCGCGGGGGCGTTGATCCCTGGAATACCCTCCAGGTAGACGGGCCTCAGTGTGAGCTAAGCGCAGTAAGTAGTTACTTGGGTGCTAGCCGACAATTGTGGGTCACAACAAGGGGAGAGGACTCAAGATCCTAATGGATATAAGCCAGGCTGATGACAGTGGCTTTATTGGGTTATCCTGGGTTACTAACCCTCAGGGTTAGTAATCCGAGCACATCTTCATCTCTTTAGAAACAAATTATTGAAGTGGTTGCAGAAAAACCCGGAGGAGGGAGGGTGACTTTTTTTGGGTTATCCTAGGTAATTATCACACATGTTACTATGTAGGACAATTGTACTTATGTCGTGTACTTATGTGTACGTGTACCAAAATAAACTTACTCTTCTCTCATGAAACATTAAGAGAAAACGGAACTCTTGTAAGGGAAACACCAATAATATCAACCTGGCGAGCTTATTAGTAATAATCTTTATTTCTACAGACTACAACTTCTACATACCATAGCTGACATCAGTGACTTACTATATATATAGCTCCGTGTTATGCAGAGCATTTCGGGCAACTTAGGTTAATTTTGTCCTCAGGATGCGACCCACACCAGTCGGCTAACACCCAGGTACCTATTTGCTGCTAGGTGAACATGGATAGCAGGTGTATTAAAGAAATACGTCAAATGTTTCCATTACAGTAAGTACAATTATCATATATAGTAACATATGTGCAAATTACCTAGGATAACCCAAAAAAATAAAAGTAATTTATTTTCAGTGGGGTCTTTGTCATATCTTATTATTTAAAACCTAGTTGTAAGATCGGACGATACCAAAAAAAAATTTGCCGATTACCGATACTAAATTTTAGGCCTATATAGATATTACCGACATTAGCCGTTACCAGTACTTTGACACACCTCTAAGACAGTTACCGTAATCATAGGAGACTTTATTCAGAATATTTCTCACAAGGGAGGTTCCTTACCCGGAGTATATCTGGAGAGGGTTTCGGGGGTCAACGCCCCCTCGGCCCGGTCTGTGACCAGGCCTCATGGTGGATCAGGGCCTGATCAACCAGGCTGTTACTGCTGTCCGCACGTAAACCGACGTAAGAACCACAGTCCGGCTGATCAGGTACTGAGTTTAGATACCTGTCCAACGCCTTCTGGAAGACAGCCAGGTGTCTATTGGTAATCCCCCTTATGTATGATGGGAGGCAGTTGAACAGTCTTGGGCTCTGACGCTAAATAAGGTAAGATTTTGTTCGGATTTTTAACTCCAAAGGATTAACCACCCAAGATAACCCAAAAAGGCAGTGTTTCATTAAGGGACTGGGTCTTAGGATCCAAGGAATTGGACATACCTTTGACTTCCTTGATTACCTTCCATTCCTCCAGGCGTTGTTTGACCCTTACGGGTTTATCGCTTCCGCCATGAATATAACAATACTTGGGTTATTAATCGTAAGGGTCGGTAATCAACTCCATTAATGTGGTTTATTACCAATGGGATTCTTTTTTTTCAACTCCTCCCCAGAATGCGACCCACGAAAGTCAACTCACAGGTATATATTTACTCTAGATAACAGGGGTAGAAGGTGTTAGTAGAGCTGCTTCTACGTCCCGCCTCGTGTAGGGGTTAAGATAAGATTTCGTTCGGATTTTTAACCCCGGAGGGTTAGCCACCCAGGATAACCCAAGAAAGTCAGTGCGTCATCGAGGACTGTCTAACTTATTTCCATTGGGGGTCCTTAATCTTGTCCCCCAGGATGCGACCCACACCAGTCGACTAACACCCAGGTACCTATTTGCTGCTAGGTGAACAGGACAACAGGTGTAAGGAAACGTGTCGAATGTTTCCACCCGCCGGGAATCGAACCCGGGCCCTCCGTGTGTGAAGCGGGAGCTTTAGCCACCAGGCCACCGGTGGTTCGACCCCGTGTCCATTGGGTAACGAACAGAGCGTGAAAATCACTGCGTTACGAGGTACCACTACAAGGTACCAAGAATAAGATGATTTATCTTAGGGGGGAATAGAAGTTAATAACGAAGGGCAACATATTAATGATGGTTTTCAATACCGGCAAGTTGTTGAATAGTACACAAACGCAACGCTTGAGGGACTGACTACCTCATATCAAAGATGAAAGATCGATAACGTCTAAAGTATTTCTACTGTCTCCAGTGCTGTATTCTCCTGTGTACGGCTGAAGAAGCCTGTTGTGTAGGCGAAACGTTTCGGCAATAAAGATATCCAAGTGTTGCACATGTGTCTTATTCATCAATAATGATAACCCAAGAAAACCTGTGGTGTCGCTTATTTCCATTATTTGACTTTATTGGAGTATCCTAGTTTAAATTCTGCATAATTTACTACATAAAGCTTTATCAATTTAAAATTATGTATAGTAAGTAAGTTTATTCAGGTATACATAAATACAGTTACATAGCATATGTATAGGGAACCTGGGATGACCCAAAAGAGTCAAAGTGACTTATTTTTTTCATCGACACCATGCCCAGGGTAGGTGCCTGAGCCCGATCTTGCAGCTCACAAGACTGTCATTCCCATTAGCCCCCTTGGGGCGGGGATGGCAGACCAGAGAGCCCTAGCTTCTCCCTACGAGCCCCGTGAGGGGGGGGGGAATGTGGCTAGGCCTGGGGACAGTTGGTCCCAAAGATGAGGGGGTACTTGTGCCTCCTCCCATGGGAGACTTAGGTCTCAGACACTCCCTAGACAGGGAGCCAAGGCTGGGCCACCACTTGGAAAAGGCCCGGGCCGGGAGAATACCGGCGAATCAAGAAGAAGTGACTTATTTCCACTGGGGTCTTTAAAGGCATATTCTTCTCTTGACTGTCAAACTCGGCACTATTTCTCAGATCAGCTCAGTCGGAACTTATTCGTAATTCTTGCTTCCGTGCTGAAGATCATCTTCTTGATGTTGCATATACGTATTTCATGTATTGCTTGGTCTAATAACGGGCTGCGGGGGCGGTGACCTTCACGAAGGGACTGCAGGTAACCTTTCCGGAGCCCGGCCTTGGGCCAGCCTCAGCCTCAGTTAACGGAATTGGCAGGCGCTAGCACTCGCTACCTTACCTCTACCTGCCTCTAAGAATATTTTCCCTTATCCTGTCAGCTGAAGATCTTGCAACACTGCATAGCTCCTGACGACAAGCAGAGCGAGTAAGATCTTGACCTAAAGATTTCCTTCCCTTCGTGGCCTGTTTTGCATCGCTTGAGATTACCCGTTCGCAATTGTTTTGCAAGGATGAGGGTTATTTTAACTAATTCTGTAACAAAGATAAGTTAAATCGAATGTATCATTAATGTATCCTTTTATTGCAATAATATACCTAACTGCAAAATTTTTTAAGCAGACAGCTGTAAAAAATAAATATGTTAATATAACCAGAATTAGGGTATCTTGTTGCTTTTAAGGAGACGGTGACGGGACGACCTTGATACTAGTGAAGGGCTCTTGATCCAAAGAATTAAGGCTAGCCTTCCCTTTCTTGGATCGAGCCTGCTTACTTTCCAATAACTAGGCGCTGTGTGACCCCCTGAGAGTATAGCGATTTTCCATTAGTCTAATATCACTGACACCACCACCGTTGCTATTACTACTACTACTATTACTACTACTATTACTAATACTACTATTAATACTACTGTTATTACTACTACTACCTCTACTGAAACTACTGCTATTACTACTACTGCTTCTACTATTTCTACTGCTACTATTTCTAGTACTACTACTACTAATAAAAATAATAACAATAGTAATTATTATTATTCTGTTGTGATTTCATCTCTCTTGATAACCTTGGCAACTAAATCCTTGAGTATGGTAGAGACGAACCTGAGTGAGTGAGGGTGGTAGTGACGGTGCTGCTCAGCCTGCAACTCTCATCTAGATCGTGTAGTCGTTTGGAGTTAAAACCCGTAAATTATGTATCTAAATTCAACTTCCGTGTGACAAGTACATGTCACCAGCATCAGCGAGTTCTTGACTTACTTATAAAAGCAGCATTTTATACCTAAGGGTAATTGAGAGCGTTGAACCCATGGAGGAGAATGAAGGGAACAACATGGCAGAAGGAAGCAGGGACAGCCAGGCTGACGGAGAGAAAATGATGAAGTCGTGGTTCTCCGATAACCTCATCAGTATCATCATCGTTTTGGCTCTGTTTTGGCTTATCAAGAAAATTGTGTTCGGGACACAACGCAGGTGAGATGTGATCATTAGTTTTCTTTTACAAGGTAAGTGATGTTATCTTCTCTCAGTTATTTCAAAGGCCAGCTGTCTAGACAGAAGTATCCTGCCACTCCCAGGATCCCCTGTAAGGACGCCAATGGAAATAAGTCACTCTGTCTGACTTTTTTGGGTTATCCTAGGTTCTTTACACATATGCTGTTATGTATGATAACCTTTGTATCTGTGTGTTAACCTGAAAAAACTTACTTGCACAACATTTGTTTAAAACCCAGGCACCTGTTTACTGCTTGGTCAACAGGGGCAACAAATTCAAAAAAACTTGTCCATATGTTTACCTAGCCAATAATCGGACCCACAACAGTCGACTAATACTCAGGTACCCATTTATTGCTAGGTGAACAGGGGTAGCAAGTGTAAGGAAAAGTAACTACGTCTCCACTCGCACGAGACTGAACTTAGGGAACAGTGATTACTCACTCACATAGTGTCTACATTTAACATGTACTGAATATTTAAGCTTCAGGTTACATCTCAAGGAGCGCGGGCAGTGACTCCTGGCTGTGTGTTCCTTGTTTAATGTGACCTTGAGTGAGACACGTATGCTGTATCGGCTCATGATGGTTAGTTTAGTTTAATATGTTTATTATGCACCCCATACCCATCCTGTGGACGGTAGTCAAAAGATTACAGAGGTACATAATTGGTCCAGGGACTGGACTCCAAAGTTTTGATAGCTGAGCAAGTTACAGAGGTAATGAACTCACAATTTACAAAGGTAATGAACTCCAGGTAGGTCTGGTTACAATCATGACAAGTTACAAAGGTATTTACAGATTACAGAGGTACGTAATGGGTCCAGGGACTGGGCCCCCAAAGTTTTGATAGCTGAACTAGGTACAAAGGTAATGAGCTCACAAGTTACAAAGGTAATGAATTCTGTAAGAATGGTTACTTACGTTTATACATGGCTACAATCATGAACAAATTACAGTGTAATGAGCAATTCACCTTCCACACCCTGTCACAACTGTAATGACTTATTGGTGCAAATAATGATTGTTGTAGACACTCACAACACAATTACACACACACAACACACACACACACAACACACACACACACACACACACACACACACACACACACACACACACCACACACAAACACACACAACATACATACACACACACACAATACATACACACACATACAACACACACACACACACACACACACAACACACACACACACCACACACACAACACACACACACACAAACACACACACACACACCACACAAACACACACTTTAGTTTAATATGTTTATTATGCACCCCATACCCATCCTGTGGGCGGTAGTCAAAGATTTTTTTACAAAGGTACAACATAATGGGTCCTGTGACTGGACCCCAAAGTTATGATTAGCTGAACTAGTACAAAGGTAATGAACTCCAGGTAGATCTGTCACGATCATGGCAAGTTACCAGAGGGGTAATGAATCAGCTTCACTCCTATGCATGGTTACAGTCATGAACAATTACAAAGTAATGAACCACTGATTGTCCACACCTGGTCACAATTGTAATGGAGTTATAAATACAAATATTAAGTGGATCATACACCCACACTAGCGCGCGCCACACACACATACACACACAGGGCACACGCACGGAACATGTGCATACGAGCGTCACAATATATGCTTACACACAAGGACGCCCACCCACACACACACCACCCACCACAACACACACACACAACCACACAACCCACCACCACACAACCAACACCACACACACTCCTCACACACACCCATCACACACACACACACCCACACAACACCACACACACACACACCCACACAACACAACACCACACCACACCACACAACACACACACACACACACACACAACCACACAACACACACATGGTAATGCTTTTTACAGCTAGCAAAGTCAGGGGTATTTCTCCAGAATGGTCTGTTTAATATACCACTGTGGATAAAATACTTTGCCATTTCTTGAACATTTCTGAGTGAGTTGTTTTCTAAATTTATTTATTTGATACACTCCAGTACATAATGACCGTAAGGTTGATGACATGTCATCTGGCAAAGTTTTACATTTCGTTTGGTCTACATCTGGTGGTGGTGATTTACACCTGCCATAGATACTTGTAACCCAGCCGGAGGCCGCGGCAGTAGTGACATCAAGAGTCTGCTTATCTTGTTGGATGCACTAGACATGTGGCTCCTCCTGCATGATGGAATGATGATTAGATGGAATGATTGTGTCAATCTCTTGTCTTAAGATCAATAAAGTCATTTTGAAGTTCTTTTCGCTATTATTGTCTCTCAAACTGGCTAATGAACCAAGATTGTAATCTACCCCCTCTTTGAAAGCATACAGCTTAGCCAATTTATCAGTTCTATTCATGCATTGAAGACCCATGTGAGACTGGAATCCATCAGCATGTGCACTCTGACTCCATGTCGACAATCTACCCATAACTATGTCTGGCTTTGACACAAGCATGCCTCAATTTGTACATTA